TGTCGGTGAATACTTTCGGTGAAGGCTTTGGTGTGAGCTATTTTTCTAATGTTTTGTTGATATCTCACAGGCGCGAGCTTTTATATGTTATGACAGTAAATTAACTGTTTATATAATTTCATTTGTCTATTTCACCACGCGTTCTTCTTACGAGACACTTTCTCAGTTCGATGCCAAAAGCAATGTCATTATTTAAGCGTTGACAGAATTTCTAACTGTGATATAGATATGTCGTTGTCACAGACAAAACTCAATGTCTTGTTTTATTGACACCTGTGTGTCTGCCTGCCTGTCTGCTAATGACAATATTCAATACACAGCTGCTATCACTGACCACATGCAATTTGAACTTAACACCAATCAGGCTATACACCATAAACAAAATGCATTGATTTATGGCCCGAGTTAGGTCTCTGTCACATTATGTAATTACACAGACAGGCAGGTGTGATACTTGAACACATGACATGTTATGATGTCTGTTGATTGCAAAATGTTATACACAAAAATGAGCATGTATTTACAAAACCCAACATCTCTCTATATATATACACACAATTAGCCCGTGAAGGCATCTGCAAATGAACCAGCCGTTACGCTTGAGTGCACACCCACCCAGCTCTGACTGGGTTCGGTATCCCGGCTGCTTCCGTTTCTTGGGAAGTAAACCGAAGTACACAATTTTGCACTTTTCGATTTCGCGATTGTATGCTTATAATTTTGTTTATATATTTTTTCAGTAACCAGCAATGTATTATATGTCATGAATAAGTGATAATTGTGTTTTAATTATGTTTGATTTTTGGTTGCATGTGACCTTTAAATAAAAGCGTGCACTCGTCACGCCGAAGATCCAGGTTCGATTCCCCACATGGGTACAATGTGTGAAGCCCATTTCTGGTGTCCCCCGTCGTGATATTGCTGGAATATTGCTAAAAGCGGCGTAAAACTAAACTCATTCACTCACTCTTATAACTTTCCGAGAATTGTGCATATTTTAAAACTGAGCTCCATTCTACAGAGCGATCTTAGTGCTAGGACTATCGTAAACCAATGTTCATTAAGGAGTTACTATCAGTTTAGTCAAGTAACCACTTTGAACCGGCGTTCTGACCTATAGTGTGTGTATTAGTCGGTCTCACAGTCCCTGAACCACATTATTTTCCCTACTGCCAAGCCCATGCTGCAGTGCTAAAGCCCTAAATGAAGCAAGTCTAGATTTCCTCAGGTTCAGGATCTCCCTTCTCATTGGTGCTCCTTTTCAATTTAAATGGGTTTATTTGTTACTATCAAAAGTATACTATTCAGAGACTAAGCGTTAGTCTATGTGTGTATCTGCAACTGATGTAAAGCATGAGGAAATGCTGAGTTCTTTCTCATTACACTGTCGGAGCCAGATCGGCATCTGCAATGTTTCACAAGGTTTATAGCGAAAACAGGCCAGATTTAAGTCAAATGACACATGATGAACGACTATGGGCGCACAGCACGATATACATCATGGCATGAAATTCCTTCAGCCCTATCAACTGACAGTTATTGTCTACACTTGCCAAAAGTGTTTTGAGATAGTGTTTTCATCAGTTGTAATAAAACTCTCGCCAGGTTGTCAGCCTGAGGGAGAAGGATTCACGAGTGTCTTTGTCTTGGGGACGGGCATAAACAAGAGTCTGGATGTCACTCACAACAATATAACGCTGTTTTAGGACAGATCGAAGAACTACATGACTCACAAACGTAATCCCTGAACATGGTGTTTACGGGCAAACTTCCAGCGCTGAATCCGGAACATATTGTGAATATAAAGTGCAGCATTGAGAGGTCGATGACCAGTCACTACAATCAGGCAGTCAAGACGAATCGTCTTGTGTATAAAAAGCTTCTGGAGAACTCGAATGTATTTTTATGGGTCAAGTAAATTATTTCGCCTGCCTGAGTGCGAGTGTGTGACGATATGCGTATAGTTGGCGCATGCACAGATACAGTTTTTTGGTGGGGTGTGTGCGTGCATGTGTGGGGCTGGTGGTGGTGGTATTTTTGTGATAACAAATTGTGATCGTGTGTGTGTGTGGGTGTGTGTGTGTGTGTACCACCTAATAATTTCAGGGATTATGCATGTAGAAGTATTTTGTTAATGACGGTGATAATATACTCTTGGAAAAGAATAAGGGAACACATGAAAGTACAAGTGTTCCTATATTTATTTCCAGACTTTCAAACACAGTGCAATACATACCTTGTGAAGAAACCTGGGAAAGTATAAAGGAACACTTGTACTTTCATGTGTTCCCCTTATTGTTATATATAATCGTTTCTATGAGTATATATACAACTTGCGAATGTATACATGAACAGACTGCTTCAAAACCAGTGTGTTTTGGGTGAGTGGGTGGCAGTATATTAGGTAACTGTAGTGCGTGACTGTCAGAATAAATGAAATATGTGTGCATGTGCCCGCGTGTGTGGTGGAGGTTGATTGGATGGGGGCGTTTACAGCTTACAGGTTACCGAGTTTCAGTTCACAAACAACGTCTAGACCTAAATATTTTTGTTAATGCTTTCTCGGAAGAAACATGTAAATATCAATATCTTATTAAAGACAGAGAGTTATCATAACGGAGTATATGGTCTAATTTTCATGATTGTTATTGAAATGTACAGTTTATATCGTCCTTCATGAGTTTATATATATATATCAAACCTATTTGTCGGTGCAAATGGTTGTCCTAATATGGTAATATATGCAGGCTGTGGATGTCGCGTTTCCCATACAACTAGCCTCTATACAGTGATACTGTGATCAGGTAATAATGAAGCTTCAGCACACCTCTTTGTGTGACCTGACGTAGTGACCTTGTGGTTTATATAGCGATGTTAAGGCAGGACGCCACCTGTGACTCTGCGGTTATGCTATGTACCATGCATATGTGAATACTCCACTGATCACGGAGTGTATCCGCCCTGTCCCCTATTGCATGGCGCAGCTGAATACCAAGGCATAAGCAGAATGAGAGAGTGAACTGAACATTCTATGATGCCAAATGTTTTAGAGACCCCTTTGCGCAAAGGGATCGGAGCCCCATAAAATTATCGTTAATCGTTGATTCTCTACAATTAGATGAACATCAGGCAGGGAGCATACATTTTTCCGTACGCCATGCTGTGTTTTTGTGCTGCTGGTTTTTTAAATAAATCATCACAATTATTTTATTGGTGGGGGTACTCTGTAAATAAAAAAACCATGTAAATACGCGTTGATCTTATAGGTAGTATTGTTCCCTGGGCTCATGTAGGAATTCCTGTGCGGAACTGCTCTTTCCAACTTACGATTATACGTTGTCAGCAACATACATATGCCTAAGGGGTTTTGGGCACGTGAGGAGCTGTGGGGCACTCTTCAGTGCGCAGACCTGTTCATAGATGTCCGAACACGTGTCCCGATTGCATGCTCATGATGTCAATTTCTGGATTAATGTCTGATCCAGGGCCCGGGCCTAAATTTTCGAAGCTCTCTTGGTGTTGAGATGGTCGTAAATACCATACATCAACATCAACTTACGACTATCTTAGCTCTGAGAGAGCTTCGAAAATCTAGGCCCAAGCTGCCAACATAGAGCGGAGCATTGCTGAGTGATGGATTATAGTTAGAGCTGAACACCGATGAGAGTTATCTCCCCTCCCCGTTTGCTTTGGGCACTTGTGGTAGTCAAGGACGTATTTTATATACGTCTTTGTGGTAGTATAGTTATGACAGGACTATCAGTGTAAATGAAACCGACATAATGACGACAAGTGTTAATCAATAAGGACTAGAAAAGGGTAATCATCCCCATCAATCACCCCCCCTGAGATCGATCTGGGCCTGGGGAAGCTGCCGTGAGATATACCCATAATCTTAATTAAACGCTCATTGATGGATCTGACGATCGGCAAACCGGGGTCAGATTACAGCCAGACAATACTATCCACATATGATTCAAGCTACTCTGGCCTTTATGTGACTTTTATCCTTGTTATTGTGGATTTTAACAGCCAAAATAATTGATGTTTTAACTTCAAAACATGAAACTTTCTCAAAGTAACGTTAATTATGATAAAAACAAATTAAAAATCTATTGCCTGGACTTGAGATGTCGGAACAAAAACCATTTTCATAAAAAAATTGAGAACATGTCTGCTGAACTCTCTCGTCTGTATTCACACTACGATATTACAAATGGCAAAAGAGTATCTATCGTAATTTAAAGCTGAGTTGACACATGGTTAATTAACAATTAATGCTCAAATGAGACTTCTCTTGCGATGTGATTCGCGAAAAGTAATTTGGATTTGTTCAGTCTTGGCCCAACTAGTGTGCGAGGCGCTCAGACATGTCCATCCTCTTTAGTTTATTTGCTGACAAAATCGATATTCGATTGCTGGAAATGCTTTAGTTACGCTTGGTAGCATCCGCTTATGAGCATTGCGGTTTTTTTCTGGTTTAAAAATATACCAATTCAGGAAGAGACTATAAAGATCGATTAACATATTTGATTCCGTTGATGTGTTAATCAATTGGATGAAATGTCAGTCACTGTCACTGAAAATTAATTTCTTAAGACGTTTCAGAAGGACCAGCGTTATAGTGAGTAATCCTCCAAGCCTTGATCGCGCAGATAATAAAAATTTAATCCTGTGTTCTCTCGTCATCACTTTAGGTGGACACCACTAGGAGCACGCTTACCTGTTTATCCGGCGCCAGGCGGCTTCTGGATGCGACATCTGTGTTTCACCAACTAGTAAGTGTTTAGTGATCAGTATATTCTAGGATTGTTTTCAAATACCTCTTCTTGCAGGAGACCTCATATTGATGAACAACCCCATTGTGCATTGGACTTTGGTAAGTTGTCTTTCGGCTGGGATAGGCCCTACCTACGGGATTTTCAAATTGACCCAGTTTGATGTCGGACATGTCGTCACGGAACGGATACCGATGGAGTCACCAGCTCGCATACCTGTGATCGGTCGGTTGAGAAGATCTAGGATGTAACACATTTCTGTTTAATATTATGTGATTGGGGCTCTAACAGACGAGTGGAATAGACGTGTGGAATAGACGTGGATAGCTGTTGTGTGTATTTGTTGTGCTTGGGGGTACTTTTAACTTTATTTCCCCTCATGTGCATTTTCTTCACACCCGACAAGTTGTTCAAAGTAAGTACGTTCATTTTTATCAGGCGTGAATTCCAATAGATCTCACGCACAGCATTCTATCGTTGGTTGTCTTTAATACCTGACTGTGTGGGAATGCTGATTGTGCAGGATGCAGTGAACTGGGGGCATGTTTGTCATGTTCACTGAAGCGCAGCGTCTAACTTGTGGGACGAACAGGTAGTCACTCAGGTGTGTGGCTTCATCGTATCGCTGCATCAGTGTTCTTGTGTTCAAGAAATGTAGATGAATTGCATGAGGATCATGCATCAAATTGCTGGAAAGCATGTGCAAATATTGTGCATGTGAACAGCTGCGTTTTGGTGTAAAGTTTTGTTAAGAATTCGCCAATTTTCACTGATTTGTATCATTTATTGAACTCATGACAATAATCTTTTCAATGTTATGACTTTGTTTTACAATATCAGTTCATATGTAAACAGTACCTTTAAATACTTGAATATTGTGCAAAATTTAGTTTAGAACAGTTGCCTGAAGTAAGTGGCTATATTTACTCCTGTGAGTCTAAACTCTAAAGTATATTTTGTCAGAAGATCCATGCTTACAGATGCCATATAGATAATTGTACCCAGTATTGAAACTTGACATTATTAGAATGAAGACAGTTTTCAGATTAATACATAAAGTAGTTTCATCATTTGACAAAAGAGTAATATGTATTTGGGGAATCATCAATACTTATGAAAGGGTCACATGAAGCCTAGAGCTGAAAGGATCAAAAGTAGTGAGCAAGTTTTTAAAGTGCATTAATAGGATGCCCAGATCCTTGTTATTGAGAAGAGTGGAAGACATCTTGTTAGTAACATTATTATGATGAACTAAGGATAGGGGCGGATGCTGAAGATAACCCAAGTGTCTGGGGATGCACAGAGTCATCTGACCGTTGGCGTGATAATGGAACCTGATCCTACTAAAACACCCCCGAGGACCCTTGACCATGATGCTTCAGTCTGTACTCTTTAGAATAATGAGACAGATGCCAAAATGAAGAGGGGTAATGAAATGATCCATTAGTTAATTTTGAAACATTTAATTGCATTGCCAGTAGCACTGATGTATTGATGGTAAAGTTGTAAATGTAAATGAAATGTTAATATATATTATCCAGCATTATGTCAAATGTCTCACAAGTTCTTTGATATTGTATGATATAATTTTGTTCAATTCCTATTCAAATGTAAACAAGCTATGCTGAGATGCTGTTATCATGTTTATGCTTTTTTTATTGAAGTGAGATAGTAAGGTACATGAACATTACATGTCAGTGTAGGCTTCGCTTCCTCTTCACTTCTTTTCACTTGTCCTACATCCTATTTTCATCACATTAAAGTTCTGTGTGCTGTCAAACAAAAGGTTTAATCTGAAAATAGCATTGTATTGTAAAAGGAGTTTTGCAAAAGGGGTCAACCACAACACACATCTGTCCATGATTTCAAAGGAAATAGTTGTACACTAAAAATAAATATATAATGGATTTGAGTATAAATATGTATTATATTTATGCGTATATGGCTGGGATCGTGGTAACGTGAGTGGTCTTCTTACTATATCTCAATCTCAATCAATGCTACAAAATGTGTATTGTGTCTGTTCAACCTTTTAGTTAGGATGTCTATGCCAATGTAATTTTGTAAGAGGAAGATGTATTATGTTTTTGCAAATCCTTTTCAAGTTAAGCTGAATAGTATGTTTGAACTAGACACTGTTTTCAAGTCATGGTGGATCCTGGGGTCTGTTAGGTTTGCCTCTTCAGTCTTCAGTATTTGAACATGGGTTGACCTAACTCTGTAACTATTAACATCAGAGTCAAGGACCCTATGACCTTCATTCTTTCATTCAGGCATTGATAAATCTCAACATTCAACTTGTATATTATCATTCAAATTATGCAAATTATTGAAATTGTTACAGATTTAATTTGTGATGGGGCATAATTACTAAACTATCCCTGGAATAGGTGGAAGGTCCTGAGAGGCTGGGAACAAGGCTTCCATTAAAGTTGATTGGTTATGGTTGCATTGTTCTTCTCCATATCATTGTGAGCTGGTCAGTCTCTGGAGAGAAAATGAGCAAAGGAATGATGAATAAAATATCATCCTGTTTAGCTATTTCTGCATATTGGTCGTTTGACAGAACTATCAAGAGATGAGATAGCTTGGGGGTTACGCAGGCGCATAAGTTCATGTAGGCCATCCTACTGCACTGCTCATTCTGAAATGTGTGAAGCAAGGTGTCCTACGGGAATCAGAGAAGAAATTAAGGGTGTGAATATTGCAGATTTTATTGCAGATTAGAGATTTGGTCATCGAACATGTTAAAATATTATGGTCATCTCGGGCAAGAAGCAGTGGACTGTATGAAGATATTATGGTCCAATCTGAGTTCCTTTGCAGGAAATGACTTCATCTTCAAGATGTTCCCATGCATAAAATTGTTTCACTTTCTATTAGACTAGACTTCATCTGGGTTGTCATTGTTACTAAACAGCTTGTTGAATGACTCACCATGACGAATGGTAACATACATGATCATATGTCCATGACTGATTGTTGGGATGAGTTATATTTAGTTATAACTGTATAGTTACCAGGGGAAATTTACTGTTGATTTGAAGGATGTGAGCTGGATCCTGGTTGCATGTGAAAATTATAAATACTCCATGAAGTCATGAGTTGCTTCCCTAACTAGGTTGCATCACATTACCTTTTGCATTGAAACAGTTGGTAATGTGCATTTAGTGAAGTGGAATTATATAATTTTTTTAAAGATAATCAAGTCCAGTAAATTTAGGGCATATAATGTTATATCATGGCTAATAAAAAATATTGTTTGTGAAATATTATTGTTGCTAGCAAAATCTTTGTTTCACTTTTGAACATTTGCTGTATGACAAGAAATTCCTTGCTTGACAATTCTCTGGCTTATTCTGGAGGACCCATGATTTTTCTGAGGCATTTGTGCTGGTGAACGATCTTTGTTAAACTGTGTACATGTGTGTTGTGCCCCGTTTAAGAGATTTAAAGGAATAAACTTCCCCAAAACATGTCTTTTCAGAGATACTTATGTCTTGTTTAATTTGGCAAGACTCTGAGACAGTGCAGAGTAATTCAGTACTACAGTAGGAGCCACCAGGAAACTCTTGTGTGTTGAGTGCTTGTTATTGAATAATCAGATAGAGAATGTCAAGAAACCTTTCATCTCTCAGTGATGAAACTGTAGCTGGAATGATGTTTATTCATGGCTTGGGCTTCTAGATTGAATGTGCCTTTGTAGTTATGGAGGTTTTGATGATCAATGTCATTGTTTTGATGTTTGCAAGCACAATTGTATGAACTGTGTTTGTTCATAATGGTTTAGCAACAGCCACCTTTACATTCAAATATTTTCACTTCAGAAAACATGCAACTGATCAAAAGCTCCAAATATGGTGAAGCATTCTCTCATCAAAGCAAGATTTTAGATTTTAGTCATAATCAGAAAGTCGCTATCAGTTCTCAATCGGGGACAAAAATTGTCTATGTTCAGCTTCAGTATCTGCTTGAACATCTAGATGGAATTGATCTTGACTTCACAAAGATCTTTGTCAGAACATATCTGAGCCTTATTGATTGACGTGACTGAATTGTCTGCTTCACCATTTGTATTGTTCATCAGTCTGTGACCTGCCTCAACCTGGCCTCATTCTGATACTAAAGTGAAGTGCTTCCTGATTGCGATCTTGTCATTAATGTGCCTGTGGTGTGAGCAGCCAGTGTGAGTCAGGGCTAATATTAGACACAGCATGGTCAAATCCAACCCTGCATGCACCCCCAGGCTGATTTCACACGATTGTTCTTCAAATTTATCCAGACTTTATTTCTCAGTCTTGATTAGCGTTCATGAATTCATGGCCTGTTGTCCTGTCATCTTCAAACATCTTCAGATTGATGTCCAGCAATGCTGCATTACAAAACTGAATATTGAAGAGCTCATAAAGTAGTTTCATCTCAGTAGAAGAACTGACTACAGTTATATCATTTCATTTGGTTGAAACGTGAGGACACAAACTATGATCATGATGTACATGAATGAAATGGAGGATTTTTCTCAATCAGATAAGAGATATCCGCATGACACACAAAACATGTTCAATCATTTTGACTGCGATATTCTCTTTATTCTGTTAAGAATGTAGAGATAAAAATACACCTGAAAAGCACAGGCCCTCGTGTCTTTGCAAGGATTAACGATGAAAAAAATATTGTTTTTGAGATGACCCCTGACTCGAAATGCTTCACAGTACAGTACATCATGACAAGGACGGACACTTCGGTGCACCCCACCCGACGCAAGAGAAGCAAGCCCTCTGGTTGGTCAACGCTGCTAAATCTGCACATTCTGTATAAATTCTCAGGAATTTTTACTTTCATCGATTGCTTGACTTTTTTTTCAGCTATCTCTTCTCAAAAGAAAGAATCATTTGTAAATGTCTCTTTATCAAACATCAACCAACCAGAGGACTTGCTTTGACCACACACCCGTTTTGTGCGGATATATCGTCAGCCATTTGTGGTTAGATCGTTTAGTTGAGAGTCAAATTGGGTTTCAATCGACTTGCAGAAATAACAATAAAGAATTGGTAGGTGTTATGAGTGGTGATCGATAGGCCAATCATCCATGATTATGTTTACATTAAGTTTTAATCGATTGTATGTGATCACATTTTTGCATATATTTTATAAAATATTGTCGCAAAGACACGAGGGCCTGTGCTGAAAAGGTCAGTTTCTCAGTTGTGTGAAATGAAGTGTTAGTTCTTTCACCGTGCTCACATGATAAAATGATTTATGATTGAACTTCTGCTTTATTGAGTAAAATAGTGAAGATCAGTAACAAATATGCAAGAAATGTGTTTTTTTAATCATCACCATTGTATTTACTTTTGCTCAGATGATTTGTGTTAAAATATTTTAAGAGACCATTCAGGGTCGAGTGTTTATTTG